AGTGCCAGGAAGCCTGTCACATGGACACAAAACGGTCCACCTGTTTCCCCCTGCTCTGCCATAAGACTTCCTATCTTGCTTCCTTCCTTGTCTTTCCCACGGCAGGCAAGGCTGAGACCAAAGCATGCAGTCAGAGTTACAAAGGAACCAACTGGTAATCTTATTTGCCTTAAAACAACTGCATTTCTACACTGGCCAGTTCCAGTGCTCAAGCAGCCATGGGGCACAGCAGATGCTCCCACAGGAACCTTACATCTCAATGGCACCTTCAAAGCACCCCAGAAAGGAATATGGATGACCCTGCACTTGGTCTCAAGGTCTCAAGGTCATCAGGAGCTGCTGCTGGCTGTCAGTACCTATGTCATGAGACCGAGCAGCAAAGCTACAAGCAGCAGGCACAATCCCACTGTGCTCCAATCCCCCATGCCCTCCATATAACCCTTTTATTGGAATCCTTCTGTGCAGCTCCTCATTCGTAGCTACTGGGCTGATCATGCTGCTGTCTGGAAAGCATCACTCGTGTGTAAAGTTCCCATGTAACTACTTCATCTTGCCCTGCCATTTTGAGGCAGAAGTGGTTAAAGCAATATACAGATAATCAGCTGGCCCTTGTGGAGATTTATTTTCCTTTCTTGAGATAATTCAGAATAGAACTATGTGATGCACTTGCAGTCTCTTCAAACAAGTAGTGTTGGAAAACAGCTGTGGCCTGCAAACCTTAACAAACAGTAGTGTGTCTTACATTACATTCAACCCTACTTTAAAATTACATCCTTATTAACACACACACAAAAGAGGAAAAGGATGTAACACAAATTAAAAGTGAATAGGAGGCTGCAGTTTCAATAGTGAATTCAAGCTAAGGCCTGAGTGCCATCAAAACTTATATCTGTTCCCAATTACTTTGTGTGCAGCTTAGGTGACCACCAGCACATGAACATTCTAAAAATTGCGGAATTAAAAAAAAACACAATTAAAAATTCTTATGTCTGCCAACATAGTGACAATTTGTGAAGAGCATTGACTTTAGTAAGTTAGCTAAAACAGAGCTACAAATTTAGGAGGGGGACAGAATAACATCAACGTAGGAAGAACAGGAGGTCCTCAACAATGCTGGAATCAGATTTTGAAACCAACTTAGGCCTATGTATTTGAAATCAACCAAAAAAACAAAGCTGATGTATCAGTTAAGAAGGTCTCGACGGACAAGACTTCAGGCTCACACTGCTCAAATAAGGAACACTTTCTTTACTATCTGGCTTAGAAATCACTTGGATTCCAAAGTGGCCATCTAATGGCCAACAGGAAAGCAGGGAAACTATTTTAAGTAAGCATCACTAAAAATAAAATAGGAGATGCAATGAAAGGAAAAAAGAGAAAGTGGTCAGTGATAAATACAGTAAAAAGATTTTTCTATTTATACTTTTAAGGCTATTTATATTTGAAAGTTTTCCTTTTGATACACAGACAGGCGGGCTTCCACATTCATCAGTCTGGAATTCATTCAAAGACACAGTATTTATAGAAACATGTAAAGGTCAACAGAAATAAAAAAGACATTAAAATTAAGTTCTGTCACAATTTGGGGTTACAATTATCACTTCATATTCAAGTTCAGCCACACATAAACAAAACATTTCCCAATATTACACTGATATGCATTTTGAATGCTCTCCTGAAATCCCGCTCCAGCAACAGGGCACATCGTGAAAAAACTAATGCAACAGTTTGACATAGTCTGACACAACTTAATGTTGCCTGGAGATAAGCTCTTTCAGGTGAACTTCCTGTGTGGGCTTGATTTCCCTAACAGCTGAATCAGGAAACCAGCACAGCATCTGTGATGGTAGGGCCATGGAGAACCTATACAACATCAACTCACAACAGAACAAATCTAAACGACAGAACTGGAGAGAACTCCGGAGACCCCTCAGAGCATCTTTCAGTACTTAAAGGGGGCCTAAGAGAGTTGGAGAAGGACTTTTTACAAGAACATGCAGTGACAGGACAAGAGATGATGTCTTCAAACTGTAAGAGGGTAGGTTTAGATTGGGAAGAAGTTCTTTATTGTGAGGGTGGTGACACAATGGAACAGGTTGCACAGAGAGACTGTGAATGCCCCATCCCCTGGAAGTGTTCAAGGTCAGCTTGGATGGGGCTCTGAGCAACCTGGTCCAGCGGAAGGTGCCCCTGCCCAAGGCAGAGGGGTTGGAACTGGATGATCTTTAAGGTCCCTTCCAAACCATTCTATGATTCCATAACTGAAGAGGAAAGGATCCATGAGTGTGCGATGAGTGCTGAAAGACTGATCATATGCTGGAGGAGAACTGCCAAAATACCCTGCACAGTCCTCTCCAAAAATGTTGCATTTGGCTTTTCAGAATATAAGGCGTCTAAAAGGAAAGTGCAACTCCTCTTGCTCATCTCTAAAGTTCTTCACAAAATACCGACAGTGCATCTGGTTATGAACAGGTCACATTCATGAACTCATTTAGAAAATGTGAGCTAAGATGCATGCTGCTTCTAGTAACCTGGATGATCTAACTTTAGTTTCAGAGTCAACTGACTGCTTTCGGCTAAAATTAAAATCCGTTATTAACTTTGCTCAAGTGTCAACACTGTTTAGCTTAATTACCTAGCTTTCCTCTCTACCAGTCCCTTCCCTTATGGATTTATTAAGGAACTATCTTATTGTGCCTCAGGTTTTACTTTACTAGCCTGCTCTGCTAAGATAAAGGCTCTCAGAAACGCTTTTCTTGCTGTACCTGTTCCAGTTGGAAATCGTTCCTGAATTCAAAATTCAGAACAACACATGAAATTTGATTTTGTGCATCTTTCTACACTGGCCATAAAATTTCCATGTCTCCATCACCTTCAAGTTACATCTATTCCATTCGAGATCCACCTTTATCTTATCCATTTAGGTCTAGATATTTGCCTCATTTTGATACAAGTTTCAAGAAGTTTTTAAAATATTTTCTGTACTTTTAAATGTTTGGGCTTTTTAGTCCAGCCAACTTAACTACCTACCAACCTCACAACCTTATTTCCTTAATTTCACAGCCTGGTCTTCTGTTGGAAGGAGTGTTATTTACGGACCTATGTTTGCTTATGCTTGTATTACGTTTAAATGGAACTATCTAAATGCATGCTTCATACAAACTTACTTTGTATAACCAACTCTTCTATAATGTCAACATGCTACATAAAAACAATATTTGAGAGTACATCAACATCTTAATTCAGCAACATTTTTAAGAAGAAATCATATTCGCTGCCTGTCACAGCTTGCACCAAAGACTGTCAATGCCCTAAGTTTCCATGGGATTGCATCTACTGAGCCATTTACAGCTGTATTTCTACAAGCAAAATAAACACGTCCAAGAATGTTGAGGCCAACTGGCACAGAAAGGTGCCATGTTAGTAAAGTCTATCCCCTTCAAAACAGGGTGGTTGCTTTCAAATTGCATACTGGGAACAATCCCAAGATAACTTTCAAACTCTACCTGGGAATAGTTCAGGTGAGTTCCTGTAAGTATAAACCAAAACTAGGCCAGTGACAGTCAACAGTAGATACATTTGATTTCTAGGGCCTGGGAGTGCTTCTAGGCACCATTTCAGATATGCCCATTGCATGAAGACCTTTTCATGCCTGCGTGACCCTGAGTTCTTCTTGAGTCTTTGTACATCTTCACTAGCTTGTCACTCTCTCACCTTCCTTCTCAGAGACCACACCAGCCACAGCTTTTAGGAGACTTTTCTCTGGCTGGACATGATAATCTTCATTTTGTTCCAAAAGGGACGCTGAGATCTTTGTCTCAAGTTTCTTCTTCTGGACTGCTTTTAGCTTTATGTTTGCATAATGTTTCTTTGGTCATGGAAAATAAAACACTGCTCTCCCCCCAGATGAACTCTGCTGACAGATGTGTCTTTTCACCTAAAGAAAACGAGTCTTCAAACACACACATCTGCATCTTCCTCAAACCACCAGGAAACCCAGATCTTCATGGTTTCTGGGTTTCTTATTTTCCTTTTTCCCCTGATGCTGCCCAACTATCTTATACCTTCTGTCTCTAGTTCTGTAATCACATCCTTCTTCTTCCTCAGCCAAAAATCTTTACTTATCTCCATCTTATCCTCCTTCTTTTCTGGTGCCACTCTGGTGTCATCTGTTTCTCACTTTTTCATCTCAAGTTCTCCATCATAAGAGATCAGTCTTTCACTTGATTTCTCCACTACCAATTAGTGCCAGCCTCTACACTATGATTATAACCACATGCATCTGTGGTCAGCTCCCTCAAAGACCTCTCCCTTCCAACTACTATTTTTATATACAGCTGTGCATTCAGATCACCTCAACTGCCTCTTCTATTCCCTCGTGTCTTTAGCTCCCTGCCTTTAGCTGCAACCAAACTACTTGAATATTCTCTCTCCTGACTTCTGTCAGGTGACATTTCTATATAAAAATAGATCCTATCAGGTAACATCGAAGAAAGTAAATCTCCTTCTGTTCCTACATCCAGTCTCGGTGTCTTCTCTGCTATCCTTCATTCAGTGCTGCATCACTGCACATCCTTCCTCATCTCTGCCTTCAAGGAAAAATAAACAGCCCAGACAAAATGCATCCAGACTCTAAATTTTCATTAAATGCTGGCTTCCTCTGGCCACTGACTTCTGAAATTTTTGGCCACATTTGAAAGGTATGTTATCTGCCCAGCCTAAATTAAGCTCTCCTAGGTGAAAAGTTTTAGTTATTATCAAAGACAGAAGAACTCCTTCATCTCCTTCAGCTGCAAGTTTAATCCACTGAAAATAGCAAATTGTTCTTGCAAACATCAGAAAAAAAAACCAAAAACCAAACAAACAAAAAAAAAAAAAAAAAAAGAAAAAAAGAAAAAGAGAAAGAGTAATTACAATGTAGAGCAGGAATTCTTGAGCATGAAGCTTTACTACAATATAAAGAAAAGTGGATGCCTACCTAAGTAGAAGAAAATGAAAGAAGTAGTGGGAGGAATTTCATGTCAGAGATCATAAATCCAGTTTGAGTAATCTTAATTTTCTGAGAAGAGGCTAGGTACTAACAGATGACTCCTCATGCTTGTGATATAGGAAATATAAGTTTACATGAATCTCAGATACAGAACATAATTACTGGAGTTTTCTTCAAAATTGGAGATGATTGCAGAAGCATGTGACTAAAAAGAAAATACAGTTCAAGGATTTAACAGAGATTTTTTTTGTAAACCAAAGTACAGACTCCAACCCTTGATTATTCCCATCAAATCATGATATCATATTAAGGACTTGAATCACACAAACTAAAATGCACTTTATTCTTTTTTTCCCTTTAAACAACACCGATTTTATAGGACAAATAATAAGGACAGAGCTTCAAAGTGCATGTGGATATGTAGGTACAGAGTACAAAGCAGAGTGTCATCTCAAGTCTTTTAGTATATAATAAAAATAGCACTTTGTTTGAGATTTGGGAGCTTATCGGTCTCACCTTCAGTGCAAGGCTTTCCTGCATACCCAGGCATGCAAGAAAGGACAAGCAATGAACAGCAGGAAAGCCTTGTGCCCCCAATACTTTGGTTTATCTCCAGAACTCAAAATCCAGCAATGCTGATAAATGAATAAGGCACACTGAGACATAAACAGAAAGAGCATGCAATTGCTTTCGTGTAAACAAGCAACAAGGCATCAACTTTAATTGTCAATAACTGGGAGGATTTTCTAAGATGCAAACAGACAGTAAATGCAGAGTTCAAAAGGTATTCAGGGTTGGCCTAAGTGATCTACTTGCTGCTGTAAATCTGCAATTCCTGAAAGCTATGACATCTCCTTCACTGTTGTTAAAGATTTTGGAACATCTATCCACTATAAACACTATACTAATTATAATTAATTACATTAATTTTCACTTATAATTTCCACAGAGATTCTCCTAAAATGAAGCAAGCCAAGAATACATCCAAAGAAACATTTCCTCTGCCAAGGCACTGAACATACCTGGCCTCTCGATCTTGGAAAAAACCTATTAACATCTTTCTGGCAGATCACATTTATCTGTGGCCTCTGTTACAAGGTACAGAGTCTGACCCATAGACCCTGTCAAAACAAACAAACAAACAAACCAAAACAAAACAAAAATATTTTAGCTGGCTTTAAATTAGAGTAATTTTTTCCATTAACAAAAAAAGGCAAAAGTGCAGTCCCTGTCTCTGACCAGTGCTGCCATAAATATTTTTTAGAAACATGACTTAGAGTAAAACAAACAAGAGGAGGTATCAGAGTAAAAGTCTACAACATTAAATCCATATTTGACATAAATTGTATGGAGCTAAAAGAAAGAACAAGTCTTTCACAGTTCCTTCTAAAACTTTAGAAATCTTCCTCTGAATTCCCAGTGTTGCTTTGACTTGCTTTGAAGACTAATCCTTTGCCAGAGGTGCTGTATAATTGTTTATGTCTCATCTAACCTGAACTGGAAGTTGAAATTCAACAAATAAATATGCAAATATCTCCTAGTGATTTGTACTTGCAAAATATAACCCAAAGGTTTATTGAGATCCTATTTAACAATTTCCCAGTGGACACATTTCTAGCAATGGATTAAATGCGAATATGATCAAATTTCCTGAAAGCCAATCGTAAAGGACTAGGAAACTCACGTAAAGAAATTTCTGAACAAGATCCCTAAGATAAATCCTTTTGTTATGAAAAATATGGAAGAAGTATGGTTAACAGGGAAATGTGACTGACTGGTTTAGTATTCAGCTACTTGCCACACATTTACATCAAGGAAAAGCATTTTTCCCACCAGTGGAAGAATTTAATTACATGGTGTACAGGAAAAAGAAAAAAAAATCCATTGTGAAAGGGCTCTTTCACTGTTTTAGTCAAAGTGGATGTCTTAGAATATATCAGCTGGACAAACTGAAAATACAAAAATAAAATATGATTAAAGATAGTGTATCTTCACCTAGCAATTGGTAACTATGTGTTCCAGCCAGAGAAAACACTGGGAAAGCTACTGGAGGAGTTTTCCTTTGGCTCAGGGAACAGATGAGCAAGAGTTCTCCTAAGGCATTACTTACAAAGCCAAAAGCTGTTAAATTCAGTGGCGACTAAAGCAAGTTACAACACAGTCTGCTCCAGACTATGTGGACAGAGCCAAACTGCAGTATAATAACATTGAGGGGAAAAAGAGAGTGAGCAGAGAAAACATACCTTATGGTTTTATCCCAAGCCTGTACCAGATTCATGGAGCTGTCTCAAGCAAGTCAGAATATGGAGGCAGAAAAGGCTTTCTGCTTGAAGATTGCTCACCTAAAGAAGCACAGATTCTATAGTGGTGTTTTCTAGTGTTTATTCAATCAAGTTTTCAATTCCTAAGTAATAGAGACACTTTCTTTGGAAAATTATGCCACTTGCTGTTGTCGAGGAAGACTCTTTCAGTCCAATAAATTGCATCTTTCCTGCCATGCATTCTTTCTCAATTAATCAAATTTTTCTCTCTGTCACTTTACCATCCCAAGCATTTGGATCAAACAATTTTTACAGAACTGCTTTCTCCATGCCCCATTCCTACAGGAAAACTCTCTCTTCATCTGTCCTTGTACATTTCTCTATGTCCATGGTTCATTTTCCTTTATTTTCTCAGAATTTCAGTTAAACCACATAAAATGCATAAAGACTAGAGGGAAGTTTAAAAAGCCACTGAAGTGAAAAAAACAGGCTGGAATTGTGAATTAAGGACTGTTTTTTGGTCAGCTGTGCAGTTCTAGCTCATTGCATAAGCATGAGTGTAAAATCGTTCTGCAGCTTCAAATAACTCCTATTTGTATAATTTCCACTTCATTTAAGAATTAGTTGGAGCAAACTGCACTGGCAATCTAAGGAAGGCAGAAAAAGTTAAGAGGATCTAAATGGTTTTATACAATGGCTGCAATACTGTGTCAGTCAGAACCAGGACTTAGGAACCGGTTTAGATTCTTTGTTGTGAAGGTGATGAGGCACTGGAACAGGTTGCCCAGAGATGCCCCATCTCTGGGAGTGTTAAAGGCCAGGTTGGATGGAGTTTTGAGCAACCTAGTCTAGTGAAAGATGTCCTTGCCCATGGGGGAAGGGGTTGGAACTAGATGATCTTTAAGATCCCTTCCAACACAAGCCATTCTATGATTCTATGATCCTATAAGAACAAGAAGTGACTTTTTTCTCTTCTGTTATTATTTTATGTTCTGTTAATTATTTTATTTCAAGGAAGCAAAGAATAATAAAATTTAAACATAATTATATGAATGCTAGTACATTTTTACAGCAGTCTTGTGTTTAACCTCAGTCTCTTCCCATACGTGAAAGCTGCAACCATAACCAACTTTTGGAAACACAGAACATCAAATCCACCCATGCAGAACAGGAATACACCAGGGTCAGCCTGCCATTTTCCCACTGAGGACAGAACTTGCTGAAAGAAGTGAGCACTCCCTGTCATTTTCACTTAGCTTTTGCTGCCAGCAAAGCTGGAGCTCTTCCTATAAATCTAAGTATTTTCCAATCAGTTAGTTCTCAGAAATGGAATTTTGGACTGGAAAAAGCACAACCCCCTATATCTCAAGAAAATCAGAGCTGGTGAACATGTGGATGGGCTAATACTGTCATTGTATTTTAAAGAGGTTGTACACTAAATTTTTTACTACCCCGTATTAAACCCACCCTGTAACTGAAAAGTAAAGCTCTCTGAATCAGCCCCAATCAGGAGGTGAGACTAATGGTGTCTATGGTTACCATCTTAACATAAAGAAAGTCAGAAATGTCAAAACTTGTCATAATTGCTCAATAGTATTCTCCTTCTGTACCAGCAAAAATTCAGTACTACTTTTCCTTGGTTACAGTCAGACATGGCAGGGAACATTTTCCTTGTTTTCTGGATGACCTTTATAGAAACCTGCTGCCTTTCTGTGAGGTGCATATGCACTTCAAGTCTCACTTCAGAACATACAATTTCCCTCCTGAAATTGTATTATTTTACCTTTACTTCTGGGCCTTTTCTGTGATAATTATATCACAGAAGGGATGACTGATTTATAAATTAATTTGTGAAAGGACAATGAAAGATGCTGGTGGCTAGAAGGATGGGAACAAGTTTCTAATGGATCAAAAGAGAGAGCATTAATGAACAGATGTGTCCTGAAAGGTTTTCTTAAATGCAGGCATGATGATTGTCTCAAGACTGATCCATTACAAATACAGGTCTGCCCACCATAGTACCAGGGAAGAGCTCTTACTGTCTCTTGAGCAGAAAGGGAAAACAGCAGAAGCCTCAGTCAGCGGTTCACATCGGAAAGAAAAATAAGGTGGACTCCATTCAGTCCTTGCTCCCTCTGCAAACACAGGAGGAGCACAAAATTTAAGTGCTTGTCTCCCATCCTTCTGTCTGATTAGGATCATGGGAGCTGCAGCTTTCATAGGAAGCCCACAAGAGAGTTTCTGTCCTCTAAGGGCCAAACTCTGCCACTGTGCTTGACAGAGCAGCTCAGATAAGAAATATTCCCTGCTCACAATGTTCTTTTGTACTACAAAGTGAGCCCCTGAATGAAGAGCCCAGTAGATCACATAATATCAACGAATTAGAAACTAACCAGTAAGTGTGACTCTACTCTAGAGCCACTAGACTGTTCCTTTCAGTCATTGAGTTGGGCTGGCATGGTCGAGGCAGCTTTGTGACTGAAAAGTAAAGCATTTCAGGCTGCAATTCTTCTTCTTCTTCTTCTTTTTTTTTTTTTTTAATGTAATTGTAACTGATCTAGTTCACCATACAGCTCAAGTCGATCAAACACAGATGCTAGCTTGAAGTTAGTTTTACATTTATCTTTTTGGGTTCTTTTCCTTTTTCAGCGAGAGGGACTTTTTAACTTTGCAATGAAGTGTTTTCTGTCAGAAACAAAATCAGCCATCAGTCCTGGCTGGCTGCACCTATAGTCCATTAAAAAAATCTCTAGGATATACATGCATTTTACTTTGAACATTCTGCTAGATTGCATTGCACTTACTTGAGTAAAAAGTTAGAACTTCTCTCCCTGCCTAAGGGAACCAAAAATATTAGCACTGATTAAATATTTATTTTGTAGCAACATGAAATCTATCATGCTACAGAAAACTATTTTGAATTATATGTCTTGAGAAAGGCTGCTACTTACAGCTTTTCTTTTTACTAAGCTAAACATTAAAAAAAAAAGAAAGCTGGGCCAAGAAAACTCTGTTTTGCTTTGGCAAAGCATCAGACGGCACCTTCTGGTTTGCCAACATAGGCAGAATCTTATCTAACTGTGGGATATGCTTGGATTTACTACCTATTAGCGAAACTATTAAGAAGCACTGAAAGGTTCCAGCCCCTTTTACGTATTCTCAGTCAAATCTCATTAGCCTGCATGCTCTCAGTTTGCACACAAAAATACAGCAGTCTTTTTCCAACTCTCAGGGAAAAATTAATAGGACAGTGTTAAATCTCATATTACAAGGACTTCATTACTTTTACAAGCTATGATAAATAATTAAACTGTGCTTGTCAAATAACTGATTAGAGAACATTTTGTGCCGTGGTGTATGTTTTTACTGTTTGTTTACCTCAGCTGACAAAATTAAATCACTTACAGAGTTTCCTGCACAACACTGCAAACTGAGACCCTAAACCTGGAGTGAAGAAGAGCTACAGGACTCAAAGGACAAGTGTATATAGGATGTGATTAAAGAAAGAGAACAGGATTAAAGGCATAGATGGGGAAACTGAAACAACAGAACCAAAGCTTGCTCTGAGAGAACAACCTAGAAGCAAATCTAGCTAACACCATCTAGATCTCTAACAGTTTCTAGACAGGCTTTTATCCCTTACAATGAGCAAGAAAACAGAAAATGGATACATATTGCTTAGAGAGATTAGTACTTATAATATTGAGCCAACATTGACTTTCCCAACCTTTAATTTACCTTCTTATCCACATTTTCACAGTAATATATTAGTGGGGGTGGGGTGGAGGCAGGGAGAGGCTTTGACTAATGCCAGTAGCAGGGTACAGTGATCTGAAATATTCTTTCAGGGCTGAAATAGAGGTTGAAATATGTGAAAAATGGAAAAGGTCGAAAAATTAGACTAGCAACCTCCCCTCCACCACATCCATAAGACAAGGCTATTTCTGTAATGCCAAAAGACAAACAGAATTTCTGACTCAGCGCATGTTGTCCTACCTGCCTCTCTTCTCCACAGGCAAGTCTCTGGAGCCCACTTCATCCAGTGGGACAATCCACATAGCCAAATGAAGGAGATGTAGTCAAATGAACAGCTGCCTCTCCTGCTGATGGGAATTGATCTGTTTGACCAACCTGGCAATTTTTCCAATTTACTCTTCTAAAGGTTACTCAAAACCAAAAACCGTCTGGCTGTAAATCTCCTCTGGTAGCAGCCAGACATATGCTGTACCAGCTTGCTGCTACCGGAGCCTCATCCGCCCTCCCAGGGCTGCAAAAACCAGCAGGATCTGCTGTCCTGAGCATCATTATGATGTTCAAGTTGGATTCTGTCAACAAGACCATACACACAATTTTTTAAATGTACTAGTCACCAAAAGCCACATTTCCATTAAGCGGGAGAGAACATTCCGGATGCTCCCATTCTCTCACGGCAGCAGAATTTCCCTGAATCAACACTTTTTGCAGAGTTATGTAACAGTGAGCACAGCACGCTTGACTCTCATCTAAGCAGACATTGCGAGCACAGTAGAAGCACCAGGGTACTTCTTTACACCAAACTGGGCTCCAAGCCAGCATGTGGATTTAAAAAATTTGAAAAATGGTGTATTTATTTCTTGGAAGAGAGCAGCAAGTTACCCAGGCAAAATCATGGATTCTTGCAGAGGAGTTAATAAGTAAACGAAGTGCAGGAAACAAGATTGAAAAGCTTTCAAATGCAGTCAAACTGAGGTTTTAAAGCAAGTGCAGTTCTTCAATACAAACAGTGAATTTGGGACTACCAGTGTGCTGGAAATGCACCAAAGGAACTCCCCAGACCTCAACATAACTCCTCCTTTCTGTAATCTGGAATGCCTTTACAGCATTGCCTGAACAGAAGGAAAGGCCAAGGAAACCCTCAGCCGTAACCAAAGTCAATTCTGCAGGCTTGTGTACCACTGTCCAGTAGAGGCATTTCTTCTGCGGTAGGAAAGACTATTTTCCTTTACATTAATGACTTAGCCATGAACTTTCACACAGAAGAAAATAGCAGCAATGTGATGTCTCAAATACACTTATGTAA